TCGGCATGTGATAAAACGGTCATATGCAGATGCACCGTAGGTCGCCGGAACAATTGATCAGATGTGCATCTGAGCAGCGTTTAATGGTTTTTCAAATATCAGCAAATATCTAGTATCCGTTCTGTGCTTGTTTTAACAGTAAATTTTATTGAAATCATAACATTAATTCTTCAGTTTCAATTCAAATTACACTGCTTTTTGCATTGCTACGTTATAATTAAATACGTACTTGTAGACGGAAGATAATATTAAAGTGGATCTTGGTGAAATGGGGCCTGGGTTTGTGGATTGGGTTTATGTGTCTCCGGTGGCACTTATGAACACAGTAATACATCACAGGTTCCATAAAACGGGCATATTTCTGACTAGCTGTGCAACGTTTAGCTTCGTAAGAAACATTCCGATCTTTGGATTTAGTGAATGATGACGCAGGTAAAGCAGTTGAACAAACAGTTTCCAACCTTTGACATTTTAACCACATGAAAGGACGTGATGGTTAATAGCTTCTTATTTAGTTCTCAGGCGCCGTCTTATTATTCTTATAAAATTCGGATTCTGAAACGATGGGATGTGATAGCACATGGCGCCGCCCGGATACCTATGATTTGTCAATCATAGCTTTACACATTAAACAGCTCGTGGTTCCCTAGCAACGAAACACCAGTAGGCATACATCGTTTTATGCATCAGTGGACTTGTGGTCTCTTACTAAAGAAATCAAAGAATACAACAGGGTAAAAAGGAAAGTGGGGATAGAGAATGATTTTATATTAAATATAGGCAATACTTTTATTGTTCTTAATCATCATTGAAACGTCTGTAAGAATTTTATATTTATGTGCCTTTCTACTGTCGTCTCATTTGTAAGATTCAGATCGCGTTATTGCTTTGAAACACGTCGAACACATCTCTTCCGTCATTAACGCTGTTACGACAAGCCTTAATTTTTGTGTTTGCTGTTTTCAGGTGTAACGGAAATGCACAATATCGTTTCGTAATAATATTTATGCTTGTTTTTTTTCTTCTTGTATTAAATTCTGGCTCTTGAAACTTCGTTTTGAGAATAAGATGTTATGTACATAAGAAATAACGGCTGAATTCAATGCTTACAGTTGTTCGGGTCCCCTTATCACACCGCCTCACCTTTCTCTTCAATTTGATAAACGCCACAAAGAGGGCTATTCTTCATGTACTACGCAGGTTAGGCGACGTCTAGCATACATACCAGGTATTGCTAGTATCGCATCATTATAAGCTTAATTCCGTCTGTAGACTACAGTGACGAGCGTGGTGTAGAATTGCGATTGGAAAAGAATACTGCAGAAAGTCGTGATTCCAATGTTTAATAACAGAACGTGACTTATTGAATGCTGTGGATGTTCGAGAGTTTTCTTGAACAAGTAAGTTGTCAATGTGTTTTTGCATTTATGCTTTCTTCTCGCATCGTTATTCTCCAAGATAATACGTGTGTTCTAGTCTCATATAAAAGTTCTTCGGCGTTTGATTTATGATATAGTAAGCAATGGTTTTGGTATATTAAACAACGTTTTATTTTTTGTTTCATGTTGCCGGTGAATGTACTGAATTAGAGTGTAAATCCCTGCAATTTTAAGTGACCACATAGATCGCATTTATGTTGGCGGAAACAGTTTTGGAATTTGCCAGAACCTAAATTTTATCTGACTGGGGAATTGTAGGAAATTTCGTACTAAACTGTCCGGTGTTGGCCCGTGCCTCTCCATTCCCGATAACGGAGAGCACAATAGTGGAATTTAGGTTTTGGTTGTGTATTTTTGTTGTTCTTTATTGTATGACTAAATATTACGTGTAAGTTTGTTCAGGCTTCTTTTATGGTTCTGGAACAGAAAGATAACAAGTATAGTTGCTGCACGAAGTGACAGATTTCGGCACCTTGTGACTGACGTCTGGCGATTTTTCAACTGTTTTCATTCTTTGGTATTTCTGTTGGCCATACAACACTATTGAACTAAGGGTTGTGGAATTAAAGTTGTTAAAGTTGAAGTTGAAGAAGTTGAGGCCAATGGTTGAGGACCCACACTGTTGATGGTAATATTTGCTGAAATATATTGTGACCCTTGAACTTTTCCCTCTGGGGGTAACACCCGCCAGTACGCATTTTTTAGGTGAATGAGTTGGCCCTGGAACCGATTTGGAGTCTGTAGCGAAGGGAAAATTGTTGTCCCTGCAGGGAATCGAACCTGATCGTTCAATACTTTGCCAATAACACAGATAGAACAGTGTGCACTGTTATTTAGTAGGTAATATATTTGAATTAATTGTCACAAGAAATAATTCAGGTCTGTGTAAGAATAATACGAAAGACGAATGAAATAGTGTATAATTTATAATGAATAACCGGGTATCGAAAACATGCCCCTGCGAAAACGACATTCATGAACACAAAGAAACGCATGATTTTGTTTTTCGTAATCAACATTTTATAAATCTGATTCGACAGTTGTTATGTATCGTAGTGTTTTATTAGATGGCCCAACGTCCTAAATAAATGAAAGAAAAATGACGTGTTTTACAATTTATTGCTCAAGCCTGAGCCAAATTGTGCGGACAGTTCTGCAGTCTAACGCCTATGAATCCATTTTACTGTTTTTATTCGTCTTTTTAAACGTAAAAGTGCATACAGCCTGCATTGGTTGTACACGCCATAACTTATCATTTATTTATGCCTTTGTTCCTTTCGTCACCGAAATTCTTTTAGCCTTATGGAATCGTGTAACTTAAAGAAGTGTATCAGAGAGCCACTTCTTTTTATATAAAAAACATTTTCTTAAACGAAAAGAGAGAATCATTGTCTTTGTTCTTTCAAGGAGTTGTCTGTCGCTCAGATACAGACAGGTTTTTTTAGCACCAAGTCGAAACCAACTAACAGCGTTTTCTAATTGCTGCCCTTTTTACGCCTTCGCATCCATTGGGAGACAGACGACAAACACTTTCTTAGTTTGAAAAGAGAGAATTTTCAATAGTCGGCAAACGAATTTGGTTTGGTTTAAGACACATGTTCGTGACGTCGCTGCAAATGTACCCTCAGCCATTTTAATGCGTAAAACGAGATGACAATCTTTTTGGGTTCCGTTGACATTGACAGTTGGTTGCTTTGTGAAGAAAATGTTTCTTAACATCAGATTGCCGTTCATTATGAAAAAAAAAAATGAAAGTAAAAGCGACTCTTTTCTCCAGTGGCAATGCCATGTGGGTGGATGTTACTTCTGTAATTCACACAGAAATTCTCAATTAGAGAAGATTGTCTTCTGACAGGGAACTAGCCTGTTTCGGATTCGTTATTTTAATTCCGTCCACGAGTGACGTGTCATTAGATCTTCAATAAAAACAACTGTAATCTTTCTTTATCATCATATCTTTATTTTGGTATTTAACCCTTTAATGACCAGCGGTACCACGTGCATAACATTCAGTAATTATGGCTTTATCTCGTAGACGTATTCATGAGTTTCGTATGATTCTCAGAATATACAGTGATTATTTCCTTAAACAGCATTAACCAGTTGATTTTTGTTGAAGTGTTGTGTTTTCTTTGAGGTAAGAACTGTGTGTTTAAATATCATGCAGATGAAGTTCGTGCTTCAAAGGACGTAGTAAACATTTGTGCCTTTTGCTGCTTGCTACTGGTGTCTTCAACAGTAAACACGCTTCAAAATTGCAAATTTTATTGTTCCGGTGTTTTAATTACAGATTACTTCGTAACCAAGAGCAGAAATTTAGCTAGTTTTTCAAAAAGGAAGTCGTGGAATGGCGTTATCATTAGATACCATCTCGGAGTTCCATCTCATACATGGGCTCGCTCACCCATCCACCAGTCCACTTACCCGTTAGACTACCGTTGAAACAGAACGTGATTGTGGTGGGTTTGTTTGCAGACTGGAGCCCGAGAGAGTGTCAGCATGTGATGGTTGACGACAGAGAACAGCAGCGACTACTGAAGCGTCGTCGGTCGCCATGCCCACCCCCACTGCCGGGGCCCCGCTAGACGAGCAGGAGGACCGAAATCTGCAGCCTGGCGGCGGCGACAACTCTACCTCGCAAACGGCACGCAGAAAGAGGAAACGGAAGCGAGACGCCCACGAAGAGCTGGAGGAAGATTCGGACAGCGAAGCCATGAGTCCCGAAGAAGAGGCGTCAGTATCGCCACCGGCCGCAGTGATAGCGGGCAGAGACGATGAGGAGAGGAGGATGTTGTCGCCGCAATCGGGTAGCCAGTTCCTGCACGACGACACTGTGCAGCCGCCCATGTCGAGGTTACAGGAAGACGAGGACGACGAGGCGTCGTCAGAAGACGAGCGCAAGTCAGCGGGAAAGAAGTGCAAAACGAAAGGAGACGGAGTCGGTACGACGACGGGGCCTCCGCTGAACTCTGCTTCCTTCATCCCCGATGCAGGGGATGACTCCTGCGGAACCAGCGACGTGGAGAAGTTCGATGGCAAGATCGTATACAATCCTGATGGCTCGGCTTATATCATTGAGGATAGCGAACTGAGTGAAGAGGATGCTACGAGTCTTGCGGACTTACCACAGATTATTGGCGACGGCTGTATCGTGGACGGCCGCGGTGTTAGTCTTTCTCAGTCCTTCGTATTCCCGCAGATAGCCAATGCTTTCTACGTGTCGCGGAACCCCTCCTTTTATAACGCCTTGTACGGGGGCGCTGCAGCTTCCTACGCTGCTAACAACGTCTTGCAAGACAAGAAAATAGTTCCTGAAGTACCGATTATGCATAGTTACAGGGTTTTCACTGTTCGTGATAATAAAAGTGGTGATAGTGATGATGGCAAGGCGGAGCGTAGTGGTAGTGGTAACAACGAAGGTAAGAAAAGCGCAGACAAGACTAAAACCAAGCAGTTGTTGCTGCAGAAGAAGAATGAGAAATATTCTGGTAAAGATTGCTCCTCAGTTCCTGTAAAACCCATTCTAATGTGTTTCATATGTAAACTGTCGTTCGGTTATGCGAAGTCTTTCGTGGCGCATGCTATGGGTGACCACAACGTGGCGCTTCTGGAAGACGAGAAGGATATTCTCGGGCATAAGAACGCGTCTGCCATAATACAGTGCGTGGGGAAGGACAAGGAGCCTCTGGTGTCGTTCCTGGAGCCACTGTCGCCGGTGAGCGTGGGTCTCGATAAGCCGGCGCAGCGGGACCCAGCGTTCAGCGCGACCGAAGTGAAGAATGAAAAGGTCGATGCTCACAGAACCTCCCCGCCAAGTGATGGTGGTCGAGGCGAGAGCAAGAACAAGGGTAGTGACTGTGGTGGCAGTGCGGGACACTTTGAGGCGGAGAGTTTAGTAATGCATCGCCGTCAGTCACAGGACAACAGCACCACTTCAGCTTCGGGGCTGTCCAACGTCCAAATTCAACATGTTCCTGAGACTTCGGTCTCCCTACCTCAAAACGGTAGTTCTAGTAGTAATAATAATAATAACAATAATAATAATAATAGAATGATTGGCGTCGGAATTAATAGTGTAATGGACCTAACGCGTAAGAGTCCCATATCGGCGTCGGCAGCGTCGTCCGGTAACAACGGTCGGAGCAGCGTATCCCCCGGTGCTAGCCCCTCGCCGGGATCTACGCTGGGGCCTCTGCTGTCTGCCGCAGTGGCAGCGGCAGCTGCAGGTAACGCCCCTGCGCTATCGTTTCCTCAGCCACCGCCCAATTTCCTGACCGGCACGACAATAGGAGTCTGTCCGGACCACATGGGCGGGCGTCCGAGTGGCGTCGAGTGCGCCAAGTGCGAGCTCATTCTTAGTTCCTCCCGTCTAGGGGGCGTCGGCGGCCCCCTAGCCGGCATGCACTCTCGCAATTCCTGCAAGACCCTCAAGTGCCCCAAGTGTAACTGGCACTACAAGTACCAGGAGACACTCGAGATCCACATGAAGGAGAAGCACCCCGAGACGGAGACGTCGTGCATCTACTGCATCGCGGGACAGCCACACCCGAGGCTGGCTCGCGGTGAGACGTACACCTGCGGCTACAAACCATATCGTTGCGAGGTGTGCAACTACTCCACTACGACCAAGGGCAACCTCAGCATTCACATGCAGTCCGACAAGCACCTCAACAACATGCAAGAACTGCAGAACGGGGGCGTGTCCAGCGGCGAATCGACCATCACAGGACCCGGCCTGCACAGTCAGGCATCACAGTCAAGCAAGGGAGGTCTGGTGAGTCCGGGCTCTGGAAGCTCTGGTGGCGCCGTCACAGGGAGCGGGCACCACCATCATCAGCACCACCCACACACGCCCCTCAGCAGTGGGACCGGCAGTGCTCAGAACCAGAAACAGAAACCGACCTTTCGGTGCGACGTTTGCAACTACGAGACGAATGTGGCGCGCAACCTGCGCATCCACATGACGAGCGAGAAACACACGCACAACATGATGGTGCTGCAACAGAATGTCAAGCACATGCATACGCTGAGTGCGCTGCACCAACAACAGCATCCACCTCAACAGCAGCAGCTCAGCTTCGAGTCGCTGCTGCATTTCCACCCAGGCCTCACTCTGCCGGGAGACAAGCCCCCGCCGCACACGGAGGCGGCACTCGCAGACATGGCCTACAATCAGGCACTGCTAATCCAGATGATGACAGGCGGGCAACTGCCCCCACACATACCACCGGAACTTGCCCCCCACATGGACATGGGTCTCAATCCCGACACCATGGAGCCCCCACCAGAGCCGGCAGATCCCAACCCTTCCCACATGTTCCACTGTTGTGTCTGCAACGTGTTCTCCACCGACTCGTTGGAGGCGCTATCCCACCATCTGTCTGCAGATCGGACCAAAATAAGGGAACAGGAAATTCTGGCCGTGGTAGCTGGCCATTACGTCTGCAAACTCTGCACCTACAAGACGAATCTGAAAGCGAATTTTCAACTGCACTGCAAGACAGACAAGCATCTGCAGCGACTGCAACATGTGAACCACGTGAAGGAGGGTGGACCTAGGAACGAGTGGAAGTTGAAGTACGTGTCGTCGCCGGGCGGGATTCAGGTGCGGTGTCATGCGTGCGATTACTACACGAACAGTGCCCACAAGTTGCAACTCCACGCGGCAGGGCAGCGCCACGAGGCGAGCTGCCTGCTCTTCATGCATCTTCGAGAGACCGAGGCCCTGTGTGAAGCCCCCCGCATCTACCACTGCGCGCTCTGCGGTTTTTCGAGCCGTGCCAAGCTGCAGTTGCTGCAGCACGTTCGCTCCATGAAGCATCTGCAGATGGAGCAGATCCACCAGCTCCAGCGGCGCAGCGAGGGTAAGGATTTGCAGACCGACATCGGAGAGGTCTTCCAGGTCGTCAGCCAACTGGATCCTCCGGGGTATGGCGACAGTGAGCTAGGTAAGGCTGTAATATACACCTCTTTAAACTTGTGTCTCTGCTTTAACGTAGTTTCGTTTTGGTGTGTTTTATGTTCTGTTGTTCTGTGGACAGAACAAGCAATTTAAATGGTCTGAGCGGAGAATTGACGTGACCTTGAAGCCTTGACATCACGCCGAATGCTGTCCTAAAACATTGCTTCTTACTAAAAATGTTCCCAACTTTCGGAGCAATCTACATATTTGATGCTATGAGTACCTTTGACCCGACAAATGCACTAAATTGTGTATCATCTATGAAATATTAAAGAAAAACAAAAGAATGACATGAAACACTAGATTGGTAGAAAACTCGCGTGTATTAGGACGAGGCGTTTCGAAGGCTTGCACCTTAACTAATTCCGTGGAGAACGGTTCTTGAGAAGTTGTTAGTAGCTGGGCTGATCAAGCAATTCTGCGTCTTTTTTTGGGACTCTAAGCTTCATTTCATGTCCTAGCATTTGTGTTATTAATTGTAAGATAACAGTTGCCGAGGTACGTATCCTCCAGTATCTTGATATTCAGATAGCATTTTAGGAAATCGTGTATAGCGCTCAGTTGTTCTTAGTTGAATCTGAGACGGACAGACTGACGAAAGGGTGTATGTAACCCGGTCGTAGTAACATATATTCGCTTCTGATAAATCATTCTGCTCTCACCTCTCTTCCTAATGTATTATTTCTTTAGTCCACATGTGTATTTGGATACGCAGAAGATAATGATTAAACCTTTAAAACCGAAGCATATCTAAATAATATTTTGGAATTCAGTCCGTACCTCAAAGAGAACACAACTCTTTACCATTACAAAAATCAACTGGTTAATGCTGTTTAAGGAAATAATCGAAGTTGAAACTGGCAATCATACGAAACCCATGAATACAAAATGAATAGTTACTGAGTGTTATAACAGTGCGTATAGTTACCGCTTGGCTTTAAAGAGATGCAAGGGACATAGAGGGCGCGTGGGAAATGCATACGAAATTTAAGTTGGAATATATTTTGAGGAAGATGTCGTTCGGTACACGTAGGCGTGGATAGGACGATCTTACGGAAACAAGAGCACAGATTGTAAATGTATGTACTGTATTCGTGTGATTCAGGTTGTATTTGAACACGATAATAAACCTTTTTGTGAAGCTGATAGTCGCTTGTCTCCTTCAAGAAATTTCTCGTCATTCGTGGAACCAGAAGATTGATTCCCGTGTTCACAAGAACCCACCAAAGCAGTTAAATTCAGTACACATCCTACGCTCTGTTGTAAGACGAACCTTAATTTTATCCTCCATCTATACCAGGGTCTTTCAAATTGTCTTTCCTTCAAGTTTCTCTTACAAACTTTAGTATTTATCATGTCACCTATGCGTGACAGGAAAGTAAGTAGGTGTGAAGTCTGAAATAGGCCTGTAATGTAGGAATTATAAATTACTGAAACATTTAAGGCTGTCTGGAGGCTAAGTGATTTTTACAATTTAAAATTTTATGACTTTTTGCAAGAAGCATTTCAGATGAGAAATATATAGTTCAGAGCCAACGTTTTTTGCGAGGTCCTCAGATATCCACACGTTAACGTATAACTTTGATTAATGCGAAAATTGGGCGATATGGCATAGTTTCGGTGCCTAGTCGCCGAATGACAGTGAAAGTGACTGTGTCATACTGTACGCATGCATGTGGCTGTTACCCTAGTGCGAAGTGAGCAAAAGATGATTTGCCTTGTTCCATTGTTCGCCTTGTTTGGAAATGGTCTGCGATGATGGTCTTGTTGAGAAACTGGTGCCAGCAGAGCAGTTCTGTTCGATGTTGCCATTGGCTGCTCTGCGTGTTGAGGGGCGGGATGTAACAACCGGTCATCACCAAACAATCGACAGACAAATAAAAGAAAGCAAGAACAGAGAACCTAAGCGGGATCAGATTAGACAGACAGGCGCAAGCAATGAGGAGAACGCATGACAACGAAGTTACTTGCATTGATATTCCTATGGTAACCGGTACTTGCTGTTGAAGAAGACTGTTTAGAAATACATTTCGTTTTATGAAGTTTAAAGGTACTTGGTATTTGATGCAGCTGAAAACGTAATGGTCTTGGGCCTAATTGCCGAACTTTTAATACTTTATTGCATAAAATTATATATATATAAAATGGCCATATTGAGAAGATTAGTATGAACAACTCACGTATGTCACCATGGACTGAACATCGTTTCCCGAGGAGTTTACACTGTCTGCTGTTCGAGAGATTTTAGGTTTAATTATCTGCCTGGCGACTAGCTGTACTAACTGAGATTTTTCTTCGTTTTCCTCAGTCTCTCGAATCATATTTTGAAATAGTACGTTAAATTGGGCCACTATCGCTTTGTAACTCATTCATTAGTCTCATCATCTGACTCTCCATATAATCTGAATTACTGGTAGTGTTGTTAAATACTCTGTAGATGAATAAATAATTAAATAAATCATGTCCTCATGGCATGAGGTACATGGAGCCCATGTATGGAGGGTAGATGCGAATATGCAGTCACAGCTTACGGGGCTCCTCACGTTATAAGCCTAATAGCGGACTGTGGACCTCTTACACAAGGGGAGCCATCTTGAGAACACGGCATTTTCTTGAATCGGTGAGCGACTATCAGGCTATATATTCTGAGTGCCGAAAGCGTAATTAATTAAATATGAATAAGATTGCGAAATAGAAGCAGCTAAAATGGGGTTCACTGGTGCATTTCAATGAAGAGACATTAGCAAACAAGGAATTAAACATAATTTAAACACGCTGAAAGTATTAGACAAAATTTGTTGGTTATTAAACGAATTGATTCCATCACATGAACATAATAGATTAAAGAACATGTGTTCAATGTTGTTATCGGTATATACCAGAAATAAAGGGAAGATGTGGTAAGGCGTATACTTGCATTCAAGTATCTGCTGTACAGAGAAATTTCAGACACTCTGTGTAAAAGATGTAAGAGGTAAACCTTGAAGCTGAAACAGCATCATAAGACTGATCGTTGTGATAATGATAAGATTCTCTTCGGATTTGTGTCTCATAAAACGTAAGGGAAACTTTGCAGGGGACACATAATCCAATCCAATTTTATGTACCAATTTCGCCATCGTGACTAAATCATGTCCGTTATGCCAATTCTTGCATTACAGGTGTTTATTATCTGCTGGTCTCTCAGCTCAGGCACTGGCGCATTGTTGTCATTTCGAAGCTGCTGAGTGTACCGTAACGAACAAACACATTCATACTCGCATATAAAGGAGAAAAAAATATCTTAGTGAAGTGTCCAGTTGACTAAACTTCTGCTACAATCATAATTATGACACCTGCTAGCCATTTTCCATTATACATCGGTTGTATTATTCTAACCGTGAATTCAGATGAACGCGGAAGTGTACTTACTAAATGGGAAACGTGTAGTTGTAATTACAAAGTCACATTAAAACGACACAGCTATGTTGCCACATTAGCACGTATTTAACATTGCCGAGAAGTTCAGAGCGTAGTAGTTAGAGTAATAACAGTTTTCAAGTGTCTGGTTCTACATGTAGATTATCATCTGCAACAGGAAGAGTAAAATATTTTTTTGTTTATAATTTACCCGTAAGCCGGCAGAGTACGCTGGGTTTGACAACAATGCATTACTGAACAAATAGCAGGTGTTTGGCAGTCCCCATCTGTGATGAATTTTAAAATCTCGAGTTTTATTGTCACAATTACGACTATGTATTATAAATGACCAAATTATCGTTATAACTTATGTCGCTTCTGCTGATACGTCTTCAGATTATGGCGATGCACTCATTTAGTCTCTTTTAAATTCAGTCTTTTCCCCGAGCCTGCACTTAGCAGCGTGCCTGTATCTTGTTTTCTGTGTTCTGGGAATACTTTTCGTATCCTCCCATCATGATTTTGAGATGTGCCCGTTCCGTTCAGCTTCCTATATTATTATAATAAAATGATTTATTTTTAACCTCACAAGTAGAAGTGATTTAACATTAAGATGTAGAGATTTTATGTTCTGTCCGTTATTGATAATGTCAGCATTTTCGAGACGTATCGTCAGTTCCCCTCATACATAAAAACAACATGAGATTGTTGTACTCAGATACTTATTAATTATTGACGAGATTTTTTTAAATATCTGAGTAATGTAAATATTTAATTTAATCACGGTAACGCAAAGAAATATTTTAGCCTAAATTGCCATTGAGTGATCTCCTCGTGGATAAATATACCAATCCGAAAGCGTTTCACAAACATTTTATATCGCAAAACTTAACAAAACGTTACTTATTTTAATTGTTTAACACTGCCTTCCAGATCGGAACGAGGTGCAACATCATCAGCACCATCAACAGAACAGAGAACAGAGAGAAAGCTGCAAAAGTGAACAGAATAAGGAAATAATGATGAAGTTCCCTATGGATCAACATGCGCAAGAGTCCGATGATCTGGAGCAGCAGCAGCATAAAGCTGCCCAGCAACACATGTGCCCATACTGCAACTACACCAGCAGTTCCGAAATGCGCATTCAGGCACATGTGCTGGCTCAGCACTCCCAGTCCGAACCATCACCTCCCTCGTCTTCTCCAGCGCGCGATTTCTTGTGTCCACTCTGCCAGGATGGTTTCCGGGACAGATCTCAGCTAGAGCGCCATGTCATGCAGATACACAGCGTAAATTCTGAAGGCCTTCAGCGGCTGCTTCTTCTCGTTGACCAGTCTCATTGGTTGAACGCCGTAAGCAGATCCGCGCCTTCGACACCACACACGCAGCAGCAGACGCCCCCGAACCAGAACTCGCACCACAGCCAAATGATCA